ACTATATAGTAGGCAAAAACGGTATGTGGAGTAATCTGTAATATGTATTCATAAAACAGAAAGCAAAAAGTAATTTGCTACTTCTGGCGAGATATTGAAGTGCGCTTCTAATGATAATGGACGCTTTACGCTTTTACTGTCCCATGAGGCCACGGGAGAGGATTTGAGAATTGCAGTGAAGCGACTTGACTAATGCTGTAGGTCACATGATGACAACATGATAAATGTAGAACAATTACTTTCCTATTACACACATTGATATTACACAAAACATACTCTTTTAATGGTTGCAAAGTATTTATTCAGACTATTCTGAGATTTCAGATGCAGCCACTGTCACTGTGTTCCAACTCACATTCCTTGGGCAGCACTGCCAATAGAATTAAAATATGCAATATAATTTTACAGTACACGTTAAACTGCTGATGACAAGCTAAAAAAAAAGGAAACCTAGTCATCACGTTTGCTTGATAACTGCAGATACCAGAAAAAAAGAAGACTATACGCAAAACATTGTTTATATGGAGCAACTCAACACACAGGAATGCATATCTTGAAGTTTCTCCATCTACAAAAGCAGTGCCTTAAACGACAATTTACAGTTTTACAACTCCTGTTACACACGTTTTATTACTGAAGAATTGCTTTAATAAAAATATGAGCTGCACATTTCTGTTAAAGCCCTCTGGTTTTCTTGTCTGCCAGGCATCCATTGCAAGTCCATTACTGTTAACATTTCCTGTTCGTTTACACTGAGGTTTGAAAATAACATAGATTATTCCTTTAATTGATGAAACCACATTAATGTCTTTTCATTGGGCCTAAGTATTCAGTCAATTCCCTACAAACACTGTTCAAATCTCTTTTCATAGCTTTTAAAGGTTTTATGAATGTACATACATACTTCATGTGCATTAGAAACAGACGCATTTGAAAAGAATTAAGGTAAAGTGTTATACAGTGACCCTAAAGACGAGTCTTGTGTTCAGTGGTGTTGAGAGACTGCTCTTCAGACTCTCTTCTCATTTATTTTCCTTCTGAACACAACACAGGTTAGATCAATTATACATGATTCAAGACTGCTGGAATGGACTCAAACACACAAACACACACACACACGCACACGATGCAGATTGCAGACTGGTTTTGCTGGGTTCAGTCCATAATAAAAGCTTAAACAGGGACGGCCAGCAGTGTGCAAAGCTTCACAAATACTCCCTCTCTGAAACCATTATAACACAAGTCACGTCAAGAGCAGCACTTGTGTGTGTGTGTGTGTGTGTGTGTGTGTGTTTCGCCAAGTACATAAATCAGCAGCTGTTGAAGTCAGAAGTGTAAAACAGTAGGCACAGAAGCAGAAAGGCATGATGATGATGTCAATGCGGTGTGCTAATCCTTACAGCCGCCTCTATGAGATTACAGCCCGTTTATTTTTAAACCTATTAAAATAAAGTTTCATTTCCGTTCCTGTCTGTGATTACTGTCTGCAAACTGACGCAATTCAGCATCAGTCTCCAAGTGAGGTTCAGTCAAGTGTTGAAAACATTTCAAATTTTGACCTCTGCTGCCATCATGTGTCTGAATACAGTTCTGCCAAAGTGTGGATCAAGCCACTTCAATGAACTTATCACTCACTTCGAGATTACAACGCATTTCCCAAAAGTGGGCAAAAAGATAACAAAGATCAAACTAAGACTTATATTAAAAACATCTGCCACTTCCGAATGTACATGGCTTAGGATCATCACACAATGATGACACAATCCCTTAAATGTGAGACCAGCTTGCTATTAAGAACTTCAAGATGGTTTCTGTTGAATCTTACAAAACCACACAGAGATTACAAGTCAATATAAGCTTATATGTTCATTGTATACAGATCTTACGAAGATCTGAGATGACCGAACACCTGAGAAGAGATGATGCTCTGATAATGCCAACCCTTAAACAACATACAAAACTACGAAACTTTGCTATAAGTGTAATCGCAACATATAATCATTGCAGTTAATAGTGTTCACCGTCTGTTTGATTACATGTCATTAACTAACTGCAAGAATTTTACTGTACATTTCTGACATATGGACATCAACTTGACATAGTCACCACTAATAAGCTACTACTAAATATTATGTAGAAACTTTCAAATAGAAACTTTTTTTGCAACGATTTGTATCGTGAAAAGCGCTATACAAATAAACTTGAATTGAATTTAATATACATGAAAAATTCAGCCAGAATAAACAAGATACTTAGATTAGAGAGTATTTTCTAATGGATTTCAACATCATAATCACACAGTAACTTTGACCCATAACTCACATTACCATTATTATAACACTCAAAAGAATATATTTGTTCCATGAAATTCTAAGGGAAGAGAGAAATCAAAGCAGATGCATTTTAATTCAGTACACTTGGTTTGCTTTAACTGATTTTAATTCCATTTGACCAGCCTACAGACGGATAATATGACCAAAATCTTGCATCTCCCAATTATGGGGACGGTAATATTTGTATCTTTTTGAAAGAAGTCTTATGCTCAGCTTGGCTGCATTTATTTGATTAAAAAGTATAGAACATTTTTTTTTTAAATAATACCGGGAAATTAATCTGTTTTCTATTTTAATACATTTTAAAATGTAATTTATTCCTGTGATGGTACAGCTAAACTTTCAGCAGCCATTACTCTAGCATTCAGTTTCACATGATCCTTCAGAAATCATTCTAATATTCTGATTTGGTGCTGAAAATGGTTGAAAAAGGTTGTTCTGCTTTTGCTACATTTTTCAGGATTCATTGATTAAAAAAGTTTTACGGTATTAATTTGAAACATTATAAATGTCTTTACTATCATTTGTGATGAATTTAATGCATCCTTGTGGAAAAAAAGCATTAATTTCTTTAAAACAAAAATCTGCCCACTAATACTCATACGGTATAGGAGAAACTCTAACAGCAGATTCATTTCTGCTGCTGCATGTATGTACCGTAATAACGCCTAACTCTAATGCCAATAATGTCTTTTAATAAAACATCCCTGAAGGAGAGCTTATTTGATCATGTGTTTATAGCATTCAAACAAACAGTTTAAAACAATCATCTTCCACTTTCATACTCACCAGTCATGGGGTCAAACAGCTGGTTGGCCTCAAGGTCAGTGAATGTGTTCATGCAGCAGGGGCAGCGGAAGGACGCTCTGTTAGTCGAGTCCCGTTCGTCCGTCTCAATGCGTCTGCGCATGTGGTCCAGCTTGTACTTCACCACATTAACCAGCAGCCGGTAGTTAATGAAATAGTAATTGTGTCGTGTCGTCTTGCCGTCAGGTGCCGTCTCCACACGCATACGACATTTGACAAACTTGTCAGCCTTGAGTGTGTTCAGAATCGAACGCAGCTGCTTGCGGTCGAACTTAAGCAGTTCCAGCATGTCCTCTTCACGTACGCAAGGGTTCCGGATCAGCACATCCAGAGCAAGAGCATGCTCGATGCCATAGAAACCTCGCACAACCTGCTTGGCCAGCCGTTTCAGAGACGCAGGGACCTCTGTGAGCAGCTCTGGTTCAGTCATGATGGACGGGAGGGAAAGAGTAGAACTAAACGAGGGAAAGATGGAGAAACAGAGCAAAAGCAGGAGGTGGAAGTATTTTCAAGACCAAGAATGATATGTTTTTAGGAAGAACGGGAGTGGATTGTAATAGGAAGGGTCAGCTCGTCTGGTATTCAAGAAGGTAATCAGGTGGATGACTTTGGGATTGTATGACGGAGGTCTGTGAATAGTGGGAGAACAGAAAAAGAGATCAGTTACACATATGATCCAATAACTGTCTATATGTCCATCCAAATGTCAACAGTTCTATTTATTTATTTTTTTAGAGATTTTTATTTGCCCTGCTACAAATTAGTAAAGTTTTTCACAAAGTGAAAATTTCTAAATAAATAAGTAACTTCAAGACAGCTAGAATTTTTTCCCTGGAAAAAAACAATCAATTGAATGCAATATATTACTGATTTATTAATAATATTCATTACTATTTTATTGTTCAATAATAACTCCTTGTAAATGGTATTCCTAAGATTTCCACAAGTCATTCTCACAGTTTCATTCTATGATCAATCCATGTTAGCCAGACAGATAATATTACCTTAATAATCAATTCAATTAAACACAACTCACAACAACAACAACCACCACAACAACGTTCAATCTATTATAGAAAGGCTGTCTGGAAGATTTGTTCCAACATGACATGCCATACAGAAAGCTAAGAACCACAAATGACCAGCTTTAACCATTACATATTATCAGCTGGGTTTAAATGTGACCAGCAGATATTCATGTGAACAGAAAGCTTAAATACAAATGTGAGGGGGCTCATTTTAGGAGTCATATATTCACCCAGTTTCAATCACTGTAAATTAAGAGAGAAGATACACATAGTAATATTTATTAGTCATTAACTTCGGCTACAAACGCATAATGTATGAATTAAATGAACCAAGCAAAGTGACAGTAACTGTACAGCTCACTGCCCAATCAAGCTTAATTTATCTCATTGTTGAGTTTAATATTAGATTATCGAAACGGAGTATAATGAAGGATACAGTTAGATTAATATCGCCTTAAAAATAAACAACATAAAAGCCTGAACGATAGGGAAAAAAACAGCTCAAACCTTTAATTTTCCTCCTGTTTAGATCTGAACAAGTTTCCTAGTTCAGCATCACGCTAACGTTCAGCGGAAATGACGCATGAGATGTTGCTGAAAAGTCCAGGGACGATTTAAATAAATACATACATATATATATAGCAAATACATGTTCATATATTTATCTCGAAACTATAATGCAATTATAAACAACAACTATGTGTTATATGTTAAGGGTCTATTTTGCTGTGTCTCAGTACCTTTATATAATATACCGATCACCGGGTTATAAACTATATGCGTTTTAGTTTAAATGAACGACTCTGATTATATATATATATATTTGAAACGCTTTTGTCATAGAATGATGTGCACCCGCTTCCGCTTTTGTGCTTCCTTGTTGTTTCCACAGGCTGCTTCCACGTGTGTTCGGAATAATGCCAGTAAACAGCAGGAGAGAGCAAGGGAAAGATGCTGCCGTGAGTCTGACAGTATTTATGTTCTGTTGGGTTTCATTTAAACCGGATCAGCTCAGTTCCGAGAACTTTAAAAAGGTCAAATATGGCAGTCAAAAAGATGCTATACCACTAACAAAAGGTACCATGGTCACGTACCATGGTAGTTAATAGTAATCTACTGTTTGGTCCATAGTAAATACCCTAGTAAAATTGCATAGAATTTTGGAAATCAAACAATATATGTATTGCCAACTGAGTCGGTCACCATAATATTGTACTACCACAACCACAGTACCTTTTAATGAGCGTAATATATACATGTATTTAAGTTATATTAATATTATATTACTTATACAACGCTTATTTAATATATTTATATTATATACATAATAATTATTATAACAGTAAGTTTTTAATAACAGCTTTCTGTACTCTGCATGTTGTTTTGACATGTTATTTGCTGATCTTGAAGGAACAGTCAACCTAAAAATAAATATCGTGTAATCATGTATTCACCATCATGTTGTTCCAAACCTGTATTACTTACTTTCTTCTTTGGCGTTATTAATTTGCATTAACTGTGGCATTGACTTTTGTCCATATTTTCATTGACATTTTCTCTCAGGTGCAGGGGACAAATGACAGCAGTGTGGTCAGTAAGGTGTCCGCAGCAGCACAGGGCTACTTCCACGATGATTTCCTTAAGCATTTTGTGTGCAAGGTGTCAAGAAGAGCTCCACTGATTAATAGGTAAATGTTTAAGAGACAGTTCTTGCTCCTTCAGTGATTATTTTTTTATAAAACAGATATGATATTTCTGAATACATGTATATTTTCTCTCAGAGGTTATTATGTGCGCTGGAAAGCAGTCGATCACTGTCTGAAACAGTTTTTCCATGCCACTCAATCCTGCTCGAGGAGACAGGTGGGATGACATGTTCACGTTTTGTGTATGTGTTTTTACTGTAAAAAAAAGAATATCTTGTTCATATTGTTCTCTTAATCTCAGATTCTGTCACTTGGAGCCGGGTTTGACTCCCTGTATTTCCGGCTGCATGCAGAAGGAGCCCTTGGAGGTGTCACAGTTTTCGAGGTTGACTTTCCAGAAGTTGCCCGGCGCAAGGCTGCCTTGATCAATAGCAATACTTGCCTGAAGGACATGTTGCCAGATAGGGAGACTGTCTCAAATCAGCAGACTAGTAGGATGTTCACTGTACCACATATTAATATATTAATAGATTATATTACGAAACATAACCGCTTAAATTGTATAGTACTGTTTATAAACGTTATTATCCATACAGATATGTGCATATTTTGCTAGTAATCTTGTCCAACCCTGCCTTTTGTCCCTAAAATGTAATGTTAAAACATTTGCGATATGTTTCTTGCTTATGTGTAGATGCTGTGTTCATCAGAAGTGGTCATTATAATCTCATTGGTGTGGATGTCAGGAAGGAGCAGGAGGTGGAGGTGACTCTGAGCGGAGCTGGACTACAGTGGGACGCTCCCACACTTGTCTTGTCAGAGGTCGTGCTGACTTATATGGAAACACAATGGTGAGAATGTGAATTCAACTTTGACTTGAATTGCAATGATTTGCATATCTGCTCCTGAACCATTGAGCCTTGGTGCTTATTCCATTGATTGAGCTTTGAGTCTTGCCTGCAACGTATACTGATCTCATTGCTATTCTGTCTTTCTAATAGCTTTCTTTTACTTTCTACTACAACTGTTTAACAAAAGAGAGGCCATATCAACTGTAGACCAAACAGACCAGCTCATTTTGAACATGTGTTTTGGTGATTTTCTCCAGGTCAGATGCTGTGATTGGCTGGGCTGCCAAGTTACTCCCACAATCTGTGTTTGTGATGTATGAACAGATCCACCCAGATGACCCGTTTGGCAGGGTCATGCAGAACCACTTCCTGAAGCTCAATTCTACCATACACGCTCTCAAACAATATCCAGACACTGTCACTCAGACGCAGAGATTCATACAGAAGGTGTGCCTGAAATTAATGTTTCATACCCATTTCTTTTTTTTATACTATGTAGCCATGTAATAAGCGAGATTATGTAACTGTTTATTATTCAATATGTACATCTTCAGATTTATAAAAGACCTGACTGGGTCACAGTGCCGGGTGTATTTTATGATAATGACTGGCTGACTGTACATAATACCTATATATATTTTTAACTATACTTTGTGAACATGAATGAAATCATTTCAATTAGCATTTCAATTGTTCATTTCTGAAATTTGAAGGTTGTATTGACCTTATGTGCATGAAGATCTCGAAGTGTTAAGGTTTGAAGCGATACAAAGATAATAGAAAAAGTCTTAGATCGTTGAGTTCAGCTCATGAAAAATGGGGGCAAAAACAAAAGTGTTGCGTTTATAATTTTGTTCAGTGTATATACACTATGATTTTCTAACAATACTTCAATACTTTTAATCAGCATTGGTGCATTAAATTGATTGAAAGTGACAGTAAAGACAGTTAAATAAATTTTTATCTCAAATAAATGCTGTTCTTTTGATCTTTGTATTCATCAAAGAATCCTGATAAAAATATTACAATGTTTTCAACACTGATAATGTTTTTGTGCTCCAAATCAGCATGTTAGAATAATTTCTAAAGGATCATGTGACACTGAAGTCTGGAGTAATGACTGCTTTGCTATCACAGGAATCAATTACATTTTTTAATATTTTAAACCTTTAACAATCATACCAACTTTTAAATGCTAGACAGGTAACTGATCTTTGTCTGCCATAGGGCTGGGAAAAATGTGTCTGTCTGGATATGAACCAGTTCTACTTTGACCTTCTTCTTGAAGATGAGAGGCAGAGAGTCGAGGGACTGGAGCCTTTTGATGAGTTTGAGGTGAAGAAACCGCCCTAATCCCAGCAAAGACCTTTGAGTGATTCCAGAATCACCACTCAATCTGACCTAATGCCTGATCCCAGACCTGTGTTTATCTTTATGATAACAGGAATGGAACCAGAAATGTTCCCATTACTTCATCCTTACAGCCTCCAAAGGTTCTGTGACCAATCAAGCACTTCTCACACTAGCAAAGGGTAAGTGTTGGTAAGATATTTGGTATTATGTGTATCACTAGGTGAGACAGTGTAGTAGAGGTACATGTGCTCTTTTCACTCCTAGTGTCCTCCATCCCTCACATGACTCCTCAGTGGGCCGAGCGTCCTACCCTGGTTATTCAGCCCATGTGTGGGTCTCCGAGTATAGAGGCTGTTGGTATGGCTTCTGCTGTCCTGGCACCTGGAATCATCTTACTCACCGGAGGCTGTGGGAGAAGTGGAAGAGACACAACAGCGAGGGTCCTGATCAAAGAGAAGGATGGCTGGAAGTGTGCCTGTGTGGAAGCTCATGGAGATAAAGGTGATTTGATCAGTGCTTTATTTTTGCTTTTGATAGTGGTTTCCTTATTGGAATTTTTCTAAATAAACTGTATGATCTGTCTGTTAGTAAATGAACAAACTTAAAAGTATTTATCGCTTTATGTGAGTGCCCTGTATGTTTTTTTTTTTTTTAGCGTTTGCAAGTTGGAGTTATTAATAGATTTTTGGTGATATGAAAATTTGTAGGATTTGAAAACTATGTAATCTCTAGGGTTTTGTTTAATTCATTATTAAACAATTTGGTGTAGAGACCAGTCTAATTATGTATGTATGCATATCTTTGTCTCACATTTCTTCTCCTCAGTGGTTAGTCTTTATCAGACGTTGACCTCTATCCCTGGAGGTGGAGCTGTCCTCTTCGGTGGCAGAACGTCTCCACTCAATCCAACAGACAGTGTTGGGTGTGTGACCTTTGACCCTGGTAACGAGCAATCCCAAAGTGCTGTAAAGCTGTCATTTAGGAACATGGTTTGCACCGGCACTGGTCCAAAACCTCGATGGCGACATACATCAACCTTGATATGTTATAAAGGTTAGAGATTTTAGTCTAGTTGTTTTTCAAAATTTTCTGATTATAATGAGCAAAATAATAACTTCTTAATGTATCGTTCCAGATAAGACCTTTCTATTTGTGTTTGGAGGACGTACAGAGAAGGATCCAGTTCTAGCTGATGCACATTTCCTGTGTTTGGAGGACAAACACTGGACTGAGGCATGATTTTCTCATCTTTCTCATATTAAAACCTAATGAAAACATAAACACAAACGGGGACACTACAGTTAAAAAGTTTGGGATTGTAAGTTTCAGCAGCCATTAGTCCAGTCTTCAGTGTCCCATGATCCTTCAGAAATCATTCTAATATGCTGATTAATAATCTGCTCAAGTATTATTAGAACTTCTTATCAATGTTTAAATCTGTTTCAGGATTCTTTGATAAATAGCAAGTTCAAAAGAACAGCATTTAATTGAAATAGAAATATTTTGTAACAGTAAATGTCTTTACTGTCACCTTTGGTCAATCCATGCTGAATAAGAGTATTAATTAAAAATCGTACTTACCCCAAACTTTTAAACAGTAGTGTATATGCATTCGATTTCGTTACTTTGTAGTTCTCTTGTAAGGGCCGCATAATGTTCCTACTTTTGTGCGTTTCAATCAGATGACGGTTGTTGGTGCTGTTCCGGAAGCCCGTCATTCCCATTCTGCTTGTCCCTATGGAGGGGGGCTTGTGATATTTGGAGGTTTGGGGAAAGGTAGCAGACCCCTCTGTGATGCTTTCTACCTGAGACCCACATCATCAGGTTTCTGCTGGGAGACAAAGAATTTACATCCACCCCCAGTACCCAGGTTCAAAACAACTCGCATATTGGGTGTGAAAGAATGAAAATAATGTGTTATGAAGATGTGCCACCTCTCAGTGATCAAAGTCACAGTCTTGGCATCTTTTTTCAGATATTCTCACTCAGCCCATGTAATAAATGAGAAGTTGGTTGTGGTTGGTGGAGTTTGGCTTCAGGCTGATGGAGTACCAGGAGTTGCTGTAATAAACCTGAGCACTGGGAGCTGTGTGGAGATCCAGCTGGATACTGTAAGTTACTCTGCTCATGGACTCTAGCAGTGGTTAATGGTTTATTATGGGATAGCAGGCATAATAAAATAATTCTGACTGTATAAGCCACGTTCACTGCTGTTGTACAATCCAAATATCCATATGTAATAATGCAGAAAGTTGCTATGTTGTGTCAACCATGAACAGCCTACAGATCATTTATAGGGCTAGTTTACCCAAAAATGAAAATTGGCCTGTGTTTTACTTAAGAAAGTCATATACACCTAGGATGCCTCAAGGGTGAGTACATCAACGGCTAATTTTCATTTTTGTGTGAAGTAACCCTTTAACTACATTAGAAGGATGATTCTAAATTCGGATGGCACTATTTCTATCATTCTGAAAGTGATCCCAGAAGTGTTGTCCTCTCTTTTGTTATTTTGTTGGGGTGTGGACTTCTCTTTGAGAATTTGAGTGATTTTTTTTTTTAAACTTCATGGTTGTAGTTATCATTCTTGGTATGAACAGGCCTTTAGACTTATGGACAATATAACTTGATGAAGGAATTGTTTGATTATTGATATTAATAAATTGAGTTGGTCATTGGTCAAAATTTGTGGGACCCCATTTTATAAAAATAATAAGCTACCTAAAGACATAATTATTGTATTATTGTAATTTTTGCAGCTGACTAATTAATTTCAAATAATTTTTTGGCAACCCACAGTTTTCATATGTAAAGAAAAAACACTTTATTTGTCATTGCTTATCTTTTTTTCTAATTTTATTTTATTTCAGTCGTCTGTGCCTTGGCCTCTGATGTTGCATTCATTCTGCTGTGAGCTGCTGGACTCTGAGGGGTCTGAGATGGTGCTCATTGGTGGAGGTGGAAATTGTTTCTCATTTGGAACTCACCTCAATCTCCACCCCATAACTGTAGATCTAAGACCAGTACTTTGCAATTCATATTAGTCTAAGTACAAACTACAAACAAGCAACAAATGTGTTGCTGAGTGAATCTCCAGCCAAACTTTATTTCAGCTGGAACTTCAGTGAGTCACAGCCAAATAGCCCAAGTATTGTGACACAGGGACATCACTCAGTAAAGCGACGGAAAGACTGCACGGTAGGACAGACCGCACCCCACTCCAGTGGTTTGCGGTAGTTGCCCTTCTCCAGGAAATACTGGTGGCCACGGTAGTTGGGATGCTCGTAGAAGATCCAGTAACCGTCCAGAACTTTGCACGAATGGATCTCTCTTAGACGGAACCTCTCCAGCACAGATGGACAGTCTTCAATGGACTCTATAGCCTGGCCTGTGAAGTCGGGCTTATCGTACAACTGAACCTTGTACTGCATTCCACTTGTCTGCATGGGTTGGATTTATTTGGGTAGGGGAAAAGGGTAGAAATATGTGTGCATGAAGGTTGGAGTTTGGATAAATGGGGCAAAATGACAAAAATACTATATGGAATAAGATGGCACTAATTGTGTGAAAGTCAGTTAACAATATATAATACTTGAAGACCTTCATAAGCATGTTTTGTAAATGAATGTACATTTTTATCTTGTTTGCCCAGTTTGATCTTGGAAGTTTTTTGAAGCATTTTGTAGATATCTGTTAATATATATTACAGTATTCATGCTGTAGAGAGATTCACTCAGGGCAGAAATTGTTCTGATATTTTATAGATTTAACATATCATACTTTTTATTTTATATGGAGTTGTATAAGTGTTGGAGAAGATGACCTCTAATGTCAAAACAAAGTACATAAAAGAGAATTACATTGATCTGAAATTTAATTTAGTCCTCTGTATGGTCTATTGACTAAGCCAAGCTAAACGTTTGCTTACATTACACAAGTAAGTCTGGTCTTTCAACAAGACTGAATCAAATACTGCAGACCATATGGCCACTGATTGATTGGCAAAGGCCATGTGGACTAATTAGGTTAAACTGACGTAACAGCTAGAAAATGTCTATGCATGACCTTCCACTACTCGTACTGTCCCAGGCTTTAATTGAATTCAGTTCTAACACAACATTGTGAAACCGCTTCATCATTATGCCCAGTCTAAAAACACAGCAAATCATATTTGTTCTGTTCTATACACTATTTAAGTCTTAGAAAAAAGCTCACTAATGCACGCTGTCGAATGTACCAGTTAAACTTACAAAGCGGATGAGCTTGCAGGAACTGAGACAGTCATTGAGGCCCATCCAGCCCAGGTATTCAGGATAGTCTCCTCTGGTTAGCAGATACCGGTTACCCGTGTAGTTGGGCTGCTCGTAAACCACCCAGGTGCCACTTTCCACACGAATAGAATTGCAGCAGCTCAGGTAGGTATGGAAGTCAGAGCAGTCACTGTCACGCTCATAACGGCGGCCCTGGAAGTTTTTGTCCTCGAAAAATACAATCTGAGACGGCAAGATAATGTTGTCTTGAATGACCACTTAACATCATTTCAAAATGGTTAATGTTTTTGGCCATGTTCATGCTGGTTTTGGCTGGTCGGCCAGCAAGCAATGTTCATTTTATCATGTCTGACCAATGTGACCTTGCCATTAATTGGTATCCACTGATTTTCTATGGACAATTTTCAAGATACATTAAAATATAGTAGTGATCAGCTGGTAACCTGCAACATTAACAAGTTTAACTAGCTATTAACCAGTTTATGCCAGCAACCAACCAATATTGCACATTTAAAACCTCAGATGACCATCTTAGTTTCCAAATAGTCTGATCAATAATAAAAACATAGTTTCATAAACAATCTAATTCAACACAGTCCTAAAGTACTGATCTGACTGCAGGCCAAGATGTTTAGAAAAGAGGTTCTAGAAAATAGGGCTTTTAGAAAATTGTTTTAAAAGTCAATGTCATCATTTAGGCATTGCATTGCATTCAAGTATACAAAAAATACACACATTTAAATTTCTGATGATGTCATGAAGTATCAACAATACAGCAGCACTATTTGGTAGACCTTAAATGCATTTCCCAATCATGTATTTTGTTAATAGAACTAATATATCCATATCTAACACATCCATTCATGTGCATTCACAAACTAATTTGCTGAACTAAACAAAGATGCTACACAACTTCTACATCTGCCATTAAGGTTGAGAAACCTCAATTATACATTTTTGTTTTTATAAATTATGCAACTGCACTAGATTCAGCCTCTTTTTCATTATATTCAAGTGACTTTGCTACTTACCCTGCCCATCTTGAATACTGTATTTAGTCTTGTCTGGGGAGGTGGTCTAAGTGTCCAGAGTGAATGTTTATGGGGCTGTTTAAATATGCAGCTCCCAACATCAAACTGACGAGCAGGGGAGGGCCAGATATTCACTTTGTCATGAAAATGAGATCCAAAAATCGAGTCAGTGATTCTAGCACTATTCAGTTTTTTTCCAGAAAAGCAAATGGGGATTAAAGGATAATGACTAGCCGGGCACGGGCATTCATTCACCCTGAAACAACACGGCACCCTACAACTGGACCAACCTGAACCACAACAAACACAGCACACTGGCCAGCACCTGATGCCAACAGCACTGCCAAATAAAGAGCCCAGACTCATTGGATTGTATCACGCATTGCTGAATGGCACTCATTACTCTGGCTCAGCTCTTTTCAACAGAACAGCCACTGGCAAATGAACCAACTAACTAAACTAAATCTGGAGAAAACGTGAGTGGTTTGCATATAGACCACTGAACAGGCAGTGATAATTTAGATTTTAAAATGAGAAATCTACAGTGAAATATTGTATTTAATAAAGTAACCTAGTACATATACCCTGCATCAGAATATGCACACTTCCCTGCTACCGAGTATGCAAAAAGTATTATGTGTAATGTCTGAATAGTCAGTATTCATGATAGAGTCGTATACACTCAACTGTATTCAGTGTGATTATAAAGCGTGCAGCCATCTTTCCGATTAGGCCAAGAGACATAAGTAGTCCTCAGATTCAAAACATTTTGAAAGCAAAATTTGACCACTGTGATCAGGGTGGCTTTTTTGAAATGTTTCCGTGCTGTAAGCCCTAAAAAAAGTCGTGGTTAAATTGTTCAATATCAACATGGTGGAAGTAGTGTGTATTTAAACTAATATATTACATGTGATACCAGTGTTGTTATTGTTACCTAAAAATAAAATATTACAAATCTTTTTCAGTAACTGAAATTAAAAAAAATAAGAAACTTTATTAAAAATCAGAAATGTTGGCTTTCCAACTAAGATTAAATACTAAAATTACTCCCATTCTAAAACTGAAATAAAAAAGCTATATTTTTTCTCTCCTTTTTTTTAAAACTAAACTATAAAAAAAAACACTAAAATGAAAATTATATAAAAATCTAAATATTAATAAATACTATAATACTAAAATAACACTGCTGTATACCAGCAGAAAGGTACTTTATCAGTAATTGAGGTTCTTCAACAAATTCCATTCTATTAAAGTACTACCATACTACCAGAATTCTAGGTAAAATAAAAAATAATTGCTGCTTGCTGAATTAAAGATGCATTACACACACATATTCCATTCAGCAAGCCAAAGCTAAGTGCTATTGATTCAATATGGGGTGTTGAGTTTCAGAGTCTAAAGTCCAAATAGCTAAAAATATCTCTTCAAACCGAATATGAAAATAGCTATGGTTTATTAAACAACCAAACCATTTCACCTTTAAGAAACCAAATTACTAGTCAATATTCGTGCTACAAAGCGGTCTATAGAATATGTACACTAACCTATAAAATGCTGATTCAAACATATTTCAAATGTTCATTTAAGACATGAATACATTCAAGAGACATTTTAAGTGACAGCATTGTTGGAATCTGTATTGTGAAGATACAGTAATAGTGCAATTACAGTGCAAGGCATTGTGAACATACATACAGCAAAGGAGACATATACACATTTATACTGGCCATGAGATTTCAGGAGGCAATAGCTGCAAACTCTTCAGTGAGTGTATGCGTTATGCCACGTACCAATTGAGATTTGTCAATAATTGCAGTACATATCTCATCCCCTCTAAATTCATATGAAGGCAGCAATTGGTCCCTTTCCTGTTTTAATTAAATAATGATTCTCTTAGGTTGATATTCTCTTGCATATCAACCTCTGGAATCACTGGTGTCGCATAACAAAAAGTAACAATGCTTAAACTATCAGACACCTGCAGCAATAATACAGCAACTCTAAAAACTAATCCAGCATAGATTTTTCTAGATGTCAATAATGTGACAGGACACAAAGTCCCTGTCTAAACCTGATACAGCATTGACAGTCCTCGTACCAGAAGAACGATGATGTTCGATGATCAGTTTTTTGGAAAGAGACAGCAAAATCAGCTTTTGGTTGTTTAGTTGTTCTTTTAGCAAACAGTTGGCGCCCGTCCCATTGCTTGTTCAGGTGGTTGTTCTTGGAGTATAGTCGGTCCAGAGTTGGAGGTGTGGCTGGAAGTGTGACCACCTCTGTGGTCCACAGAGGTGGAGGGGGTGAGGGCAGGAGGGAGGAGGCTGTCAAGCTCTTGTCTTTGTCCCGTCTCAAGCAACCACTCATGAAACTTCTGCTCCACTAAGGCCTGAAACTGCCGTCTCTGGACCCTTTAAAACAACAAAGACAATGCATCACTGATGCATCCAAATGTCTCAAAAGAAAAAAAAAAACTTACTGCCCATGTGATTGATTATAATGGAGATGCATTACAATTTTACATCAGATTTAATAATAATGCTAGACTTATATTAAACTAGATTTAATCGGTTTAAAAAGAAAATAAACATATCACAGAATTTTTTTTAAAGCTACATAAGCCCAAACCCCAAATATATTCATATAGTGAATACATGTTTTACACACAAATCAACAAAAAAGAAAATAAAAAATAATTCAATTCTAAAAAATAATTTAATAATAATAATAATATATATAATAGTGCTGTCAAACGATTAATC